TGGTCCTCCACATGATATGCTGTGGCACATAAAGGTATGTGCTGCCCAGGGATGCTTCTGTTTTTCTAGTGGGTTTGAACAGGCGGATAGAATGGCTGCCTTACTGTCCAAGCTTGTCTCTCTAGGGATGATCTTTTGGCACTGATTTTGGAGAACAGTGAACTGGGCTGGGAGGGGGCTGTAGGGTGCAGCAGATCCTGTGCCCCAGCTTTCCAGGGCTCCCACCAGCATGCATGGTCCAATTCCCTTGTAGGCTGACAGCAGCTGGCGGCGGGAGAGGATCCTGCATGTGCCACTGTGCAAAGAGGACTGCGAGGAATGGTGGGAGGACTGCAAGGACTACGTCACGTGCAAAGAGAACTGGCACAAGGGCTGGAATTGGGCAACAGGTCAGTGGGCTCTGGGGAGAGCCTTCCCTCCCCCTGCAGGAAGGACCCTGGGGGTGATCCTGCTCCCACCCAGTGCCTGGAGCCCAACCAGTGGCTGCTGTCACTTCTCTATGGGGGTTGCAGACTGGGAGGGAACCAAGCCACCAATGTCACCATTGAGATGTGATGACCTGTGGGCAGGCTGCTGGCCTGCTCTTTCCTATGGAAAGAAGCAGGCAAATGGCTCATGTTGTTTCCTTCTCTGCTGCTTTCCTCAGGAACGAACCGCTGTCCCTGGGGCTCCATGTGCAGGCCCTTCACCCAGGTCTTCCCCAGACCCAAAGATCTGTGTGAGAAGATCTGGTCCAACTCCTACAAATACACCACAGAACGCCGGGGCAGTGGGCGCTGCATCCAGATGTGGTTTGACCCCACGCAGGGGAACCCCAACGTGGTTGTGGCAAAGTACTACGCCTGGAAGAAGCGATTCTCTCCTGCCAGGATGGAGGATGTGACTCCTGAGACGGGCAGAGCTGCGTGTGCTGTGCCATGGCTCATCCTGCTGCTGGCCCTCGTGCTGCTCACTGCAGGCTGGGGGTCCTATGGGTGGAGGTCCCTGTGACAGCTCCCCAAAGGGATGCGGCTTCTCTTCCCGTGAAGGAGGAGGCTGTTCCTGTGGCATGAGTGGCACTCGGTCTGTTCAATTTGCTTGTGTGCCCCAGTGGATGCTCAGCATGGGCTGTGTTGTTGGACTTTGATGTCTGCTGCTGCCTCCTGCTGATGGAGGCAGTGATTTCCCATCCTTTGCGTCTGAGCTCCTCCTATCTTCCCCTGTGTTTGCTGCCTCCTGCCCATAGGGCAGGTGTTGATGTCCGTGCTCTGGGTGTGTGTAGTGTTTGTTCCTGATCCTTTTCTGAGCACTGCATCCCTGGAGAGCGGAGTTGATAATAAAAGAACTGCTCTGAATCAGCCTTGTCTGAAGGCAACGTCCTCCCAAGGAGGAAGAAGCACTCTGGGGGTGGAACAAAGCTACTGGTCTGGGTGGTGCCAAGGGATCTGCAGGTGTGGAAGTCTGCCTAGGATTAGAAAGCTGCAGCCTTATCTCCTGCCCTGATCAGTCCTTAAAAACTATGCTCTGCTCCATCAAACTACAGGAGATGCAGAGTTGCTCGTATCCCTGCATGGGGATTCCACAGCAGCCCATGCCCAGGCAGGGCAGGATTGCCTATACTGTTTTCTCCCTCATCAACCACTCTGCTGTGTTTCTTCCTCCTCCATCCTCCCCCTGAGCACAGGGACTCTAGGATCTTCTAGGCACAGATTGTTAGAGCTATACTACTGCTACAGCCTGGTGCAGGTAGTACATGCTTTTCCAGCAGGTGCATCTGAGAAAAATCTTAGCAGAACAGAGAGGTGTGGAGTTCCTTCCCCCTTGGAGATCTCTAAAGCAGCATGGAGGTTGTCCTGTGCACCCTGCTCTAGGTGTCCCTGCTGGAGCAGGGCTTGGACCAGGCAGAGCCTGAGGCCCCTTCTGAGTTCAACAGCCTGATTCTGTGAGGTGCTCATCCTGCAGCTGTGCATGCCTTGTATTTGGGAAGCTTCCTCTCCTGCACAGCTGTGGTGAGGCTCAGGCTGATGGTGCAGCTTGCAGCCCTGCTTAGGCTCAGGCTTTGGCCACGTGCCTGTGCTGCTTCAAAACATTCTCTTCCCTGGAGGCAGCAGCTCCCACCCTTTACTTTGGATTTGCAGACTGTGGAAGGAGCTGTGCGAAGCTCCCTGCTGTGCTGGTTTGTTTTCCTTCCTCTGAAGTAGAAACAAGTCTCTGAAGGAGGGCTGGAAATAGTTTTCCTTTTGGGAGGAACACTGAGGAGGACAGTAATGGGGAAGTGCATGGGGCTGCCCAGCCCACAGCTACCTGGTGTGCTGGGCTTTATTTGATTTAAGGAGGCTTGAGATCAAATCAGTTATTTCCAGAAGCTTTTGTCTTTAAGTACCTTAATGATGCAGCCTCTTGCAGCTGGTTACTTACTACCTACTTGTACATGGAACAGAACCTTTTTTCCTTCTTCAGTGCATTGTTTGCAAAAGCTGAAGTGACTTTGTGTCCTGGCTTTGGAAAGGTCAAAAATGGCTTTGGGTAGAGAGTGAGGTTTGGACTGCCTGACCCACCTGGGGATGGGGAAGAGGAAGCACCTGGAGCTGCTTCCTGCAGCTTTTATCTGCTTAAAGGACAATAAATGAAATTCCTTACACTTGAGCAGCTTTGCTTTCTGGAGGAATGCCATTCAGGCAGCTCCCTGTGTCCATTCCATGCTTGCTGTCCATGCAGGTTCTGGTCAGCTCTGCCACTGTGTCAACAATCAAGCTTCTGTCTCCTGTAAGTGTTGCTGGATCCCCTTCCAGCTGGAAGGGGCTGTCCCACATCCATGTGCACACCTCCAGGCCTGTCCTGAGGGAGGTCTGACCTTGCTGCTGCTGCTGTGTGCTGTTCTGTCCTCAGGAAGTTGCTCTGGGCTCAGCCCAGATCTCTGCTTCGTATGGGAATGCTCCATTGGAGGTGCTCCCTGTGCGCTCCAGCAGCTCTGCTGGTACTGTGCCGTGCTTGACAGTGGCAAGGTAACTTTTCCTGCCACGTGAGATCTGGATGAGCAGGTCTGCAGCTCCAGTTTGGGCTTTCTTCTGGTCGTGTGTTTTCTTGTTTTGTCTTTTTCTAGTTTGATTTTTCAAGGCCAGGCTGGATGTGGCTCTGGGCAGCCTGGTCTGCTGGTTGACGACCCTGGACACAGCAAGGGTTTAGAACTGAAAAGGAGCATTGTGCTCCTTTGCAACCCAGGCCTTTTTATTATCCTATGGTTGTGATGTGCTTTCTGCTGTGTTTTCTTCTCCTTGTGTCAGCTGTGCTGAGTTGCATACAATTGTTTGTCACCAGAGCTGTTTAGTGCCTCCCTGAGCCCAGTCCTCATCACAGCCACCATCAATTTGGGTTTGTCTGCAGTGCTCAATCTGCTGGAGATACAGTGGGACTTCTGCCCATCAGAACAGCCCACCATTGCTTCACCATCTTTGTCTGCCCTCTTCTGACTTGTCATTGTGCAGGGGTGAACCAGACCATGGAATGCCTGCGCCAGAGCAACTTTGGTGTTGGAGATGTGCTGCAGGAGGGCAGGGCTCTGGTTAAGGCAGGAGTCCTGCAATCCAAGTGACTAATCTCCAGATAATAGATTTCACTTCTGAACTGATCTCACCTCTCTGATCTCCTTCTGGAGCCTATGTGCCTGCACTGATGTCCTCCTTATGTCAACCACCTACTTATCCAGAGCCACCAATTACTTCTCCTCCTGACCATTGTGTCTGGCCAGCAGCACACAGAGCGTGTGAGGGGCAGAGGGGCTCTGCTGCCCTCCTACAGATCTCACTGGGGTTCATTGGGGTTGGCAGCACCTTTCAGACAGGGCTGTGAATCACTGGAAATGGGACAGTCTGGCTGTTCTGTTAGCTTTGCAGCCATCAGCTTTCCCTGACTCTGCTCTGGGTTTGGTGGTCATCCATCGGGTGGGAGCTTACTCAGTGCCATGGGCAGCATCCCACATCTCTCTTCCTTCTGTATCCTTAAGGACCAGCACTGAATTAGGGGGGGATCTGAGGCCTCTGCAGCAAATGATGTATCTGGGAAAGGGAGTTACTGACGGGCAGGAAGCCTAGGTGAGGTTAGCACAACTGTTGGAGTGATGGCTGAGATCTGTTCCTGGTCAGAGACCAGGGTGGGAGCATCTTGCAAAGGCAGCCTGGGTTTTCCCAGCTGCTCTGTGCAGAAACAGATCTGAACACAGTGGGCTCAGTACCTTGGGTGCCCTGCCAGCTGTGCTGATGTTGGGCAGTGGGAGCAGACAGAAAAGAGGAAAAGATCCCATAGGATGTGAGTGCTTGAGGACAGCAGGTGAGCAGAAAGCAGCCATCAGGATGGGAAAACACAGGCTGCTCTTGCATGCTGACTGCTCTGGAAATGTCAGTGTGTGCAAGGAAATGCCATTGCAGCGGAGATGTTGGAGAGCAGTTTACTGAGGGTGAGAGGAAAGGTGAAAGGGCAGAAAGTGAACCTGCCACAGGGTGAGCAGCAGGGCTGCCCGTGTCCCCAGCATCCTCCTGCAGTGCGTGAAGGTGGATGGTCTGTAGGAGAATGCTGTGAATCAGGCCAGGGTGAGCAATGTCATAGGATTATTAGGTTGGAAAAGACCACTGACATAATCTAGTCCAACCGTGTCCTGGGGATGCTGCTGGAGCTGGGGGTGGGAGATGGGCAGTGCAGAGGGGGTGATGTGCACAGCCTCGTGCCAGTTGTGCCCTCTACAGTCATCAAGAGACATGGTACCAAACTGGAACACTTCGCCTGCCAACTTGGTGTCATCTGTGGGTGAACTCAATGCCTTCCCCAGGTCATCAATAAAGGTATTGAACAGGCATGTAAAGGAATACTAAATTTTGCGTGGAATCAGTGGTAATCATTTGAAGACAGAAGCAGTTCCACCGTGTACAACTATAACTTCTAAAATAAGGTATCTTCTGAATGTTTGTGTTTTCTTGCTTGTTTGTCTGTTTCTATGCAGTTGAAGGTGAACTGAAAAAAAAACTGAGTGCAATGTCTCATGAGGAAAATATCCAGGGGAAGATTTCTCAGGAAGCTCTGGTCCTTAAGGCTGCAGTGGTGGTGATGGTCCTTTTCGACCCAGGCCATTCTATGATTTCCTGGAGTGCAGAATACCAGTGCTTGATCAATTTCAGTGCTTGGATGTTTTTCCCTCTCCTTTCAGGCACAATATGCAGCCGAAGGACAATCCACGTCTGAACAGTCAGCATGACACGGGGTTTTATTGTACGAGCTATCTCCTAATTACCCCGGGTTCTGAGAAGTAAACCCTTATGGGGCCCCACAGGCATTTATTACTGACCCCCGCAGTGCCCTGACACGGGCAGCCATCAGATCAAGGTGACTCACCCATTAGGAAAAGATAGCTTCCACATCACTAATTATTTCATCTCCATTCATCAGAAGGACACAGTTTTGCTATTGGGAAGCAGGGTATGAAATATTAGAAAAAGGACGTGTGTTTTTTTTGAAAATCTAATCGCTTTAATGCCGGCCCGTTGGTACCTCCAGCCAACAACAACCACTGATGACGCATTTTCTGAACGATGTGTTTTTACCAAGCGCTGCCTGGCTGACCCGGCCTTTTATTGCAGAAGAAGCATGGTTTCTTTTATTAGCCTAAAGGATGTAGTTGGAAGATGAGCTTGCAGAAGGACTTTCTTTCTATGAAATAAATAACAGCCTGCAACTGCTCTCAGTGGACACACATCTCTAAGGGTGCCCGGGGCTCCAGGCAGAGAGGGGCCAGAAGGGAAACACCACCTGCATGGGGACATCCCATGTGTGATCCCAGGCAGTGAGGAGGGGCACAGCATGAGTGTTTCTGCTCCCAGTCACCGTGCTGCTCAGACCTGGGCTGTGCAGTCTTAGTGCCTGGCTTAAACCCAGGGCAGATTCCAGGGCAATTCCAGAACAACAAACAGACATACATTTAGCACCTGAGAAATCCAGTCTGCACTGCAGTTTGCTGATGGCAATATAGAAGGGCTGAGGATGATGGTAGGGTTTGCCCAAGGAGGCTGTGGATGCCCCATCCCTGCAGGCATTCAAGGCCAGGCTGATGTGGCTCTGGGCAGCCTGGGCTGCTGGTTGGCGACCTGCACATAGCAGGGGGTTGGAACTGGATGAGCACTGTGCTTCTTTGCAACCCAGGCCATTCTATCATTCCATGATTCTTCCATTTCTTGTTGCTGAATATGTTGTGTGAAATGAGTCAAAAGCCTAATTAAAGTCGAGGCAGATTTAATTTCCAGTTTCCTCCCCACCAGCAAGGCGTGCTGCCTGCTCTGAAGTACAAATCAGCCTGTTTTGTCACCATTCA